TTATTGTTATTGTTATTGTTATTGTTATTGTTATTAGTATAATTATTACTGTTATTATTACTATTGCTACTATCATTATATGCGCCATTCGTTTGACCATCTTTTATTGATACCGCTTAACAGTTAAGGTAAATAGTAGTAACAAATCTATTCAAAAAACTGTAAAAAACCCTCTGACAAACCCTTATTTTTAGTAGTTATATATATATATATATATATATATATATATATATATCGGTCAGCAGAAAGTAGATTAGCCTGTCTGAATTTTAAATAACTAATATTTAGTAAAAGTAGAAAACGGTAGATATTAACAAAAGCTAAAAGTTTCAGTTTTTTCATTGGTATTTCGCTCAGAAATTTTTACAAACACATTTTTTATTTAAAATTAGTAAGTTGAAAAAAAAAACGTTTACACATTTCTAGAATCAGTCGGTGCAAAACAGAAAAGTTCTCAGTTTTATTAATGAGAAACAAATGATTTTAAGTGTTTAATTGTTTGTAAATTCAATAAATTTTACTTCTTTTGTTTATCGAGTGAACATACTACACGAAGAACAGAAAAGGAAGAAAAAGTTGCAATTATTAATGCCAAAAACTTTTTATTACTATTGCTATTATTATTACTGTTACTATTACTGTTATTATTATTACTAGTGTCATTACCATTACTGTTACTGTTGTTATCATTATTATTTCACTATTACTATTACTATTACTGTTACTATTATCATTGTTATTACTCTTACCATTATCATTATTATCATTATAATTAATACTGCGATAATTGTTAGTTTAAGGTTTGAATTTAATAGGACATTTAGAATGGCAAAGCATAAGACAGCTGAAAATTTCTTTTGAATACTGTGTTCAGAAACTCATAAAAGAGACAAAATTCGATGTTGCCGCTAAGCGGGATGCCTGGGAGAGGTTGTAGAATGCAAATATCGTAATTGATCAAACATCATTTTGGAGTGGTAAGCAAGTATGATAAAGCAATGTTTTTGGGTTCAATTTAGGGTTGGGTCTCCAAAGCAACAGATGTTGGCCGTCGATAGTTGATTAGTATTTGCATCAACTAAACTTAGTACCAAATTTGCTGTTCTGCTTAGCACACTGTCACAGTTTGTTTACCACCAGAGAACAAGTAAAAAAAAAAAATTTGCCGTCTTTTTCTTTCCCCATGTCTTTTTTGTTCTCCTTTTTTTCTTTCAGATTGCAAAAAATGTCCATCTAATTGTTCCATTT